ATTTTAATTATTTTCAGGAACCCTCTCTTTGATATGTTTCATGCTTCTTGTAGCTCTATAGGTGTTTCTTTAGATTAGGAAAATTTTTTCTATATTTTTAATGACATTTTTGGTCTGTACCTTAGACCTGTGTTTTTCTCCTTCCTCTATTCCTAATATTCTTAGATTTATTCCTAATATTCTTAGATTTTGTCATTTCATAGTGTTTCAGATTTCTTGGATATTTTGGAATTGTTTTCAATGTCCAAGGTTCTCTCTTCCATCTTTTGTATTCTGTTCGTGAGACTTATCTCTCATTTTTCTGTTCAAGGTCCAATTTTTACTTCTAGATTTCCCTCAGTTTGGGTTTTCTTTATTGAGTCTATTTCCACTTTCATGCCTTGAGCTGTTTTACTTATTTCCATAGATTCCTAGCTGGATTTATTTCTTTCCTTATTAAGGACCTCTATCATATTTCTAAATGCTGTTTTAAGGTCTTTTCTTGTGTTTTAACCATGTTGTAGTTCTAAGGGCCTACTATCATAGGGTTACTGGATTGTAATAGAGATACACTGTCTTGAGTATTATTGATTGTATTTTAGGATGACATCTAAGCATCTGGGTTTGGGAAGATTGGGTGCTGATTATCTTTCTTGTCTTTGGTAGATGGATGTTTCATTCCTTGCTTTCTATTGCTGTCTCTGTTCCTTAGAGGTTGTGGTGTCTGTATGTTTCCTTGTAAGGATCTGGGATCCTGACAAGTGTAACCACTAGGCTTTCCAGGTAAAATGCACTTCTGGGTATTGTGAGGTGACACTTGGGATTAGGAATGGGTCTACATTATGGAGGATAGAAGGGTGTGCCACAGGTTTTATCAATCCATTGATAATGGGAACAGTGAATGAGGAGAATTCACAGCAGATAATTTGCTACAAACAAGGCATATGACTAGGGGAGTAGCAGTGAAGTAGAGGAGAGAAAGTGAAAACATACTTGCTTTTTACATTCTGGTCTCTTAATGGGGCATGTGAGCTTCAAACTGTGCTCGAGTTTCCACTAGATTCCAGATACATACTTCTTTAACCCACTGTTTAATGTTTCCCTAGCTCTCCATGGTAACAGGATTAACTGCCTCCTTTTTATTGTTCTTGCTGTTGTTCTGGAAAACATAGGTATAATCAACCATTTTACAGCTGGCTGGCTCTGGGTGGTAATGTACCTTTCATTGCGATATAGAAATCATGAAGCTCTTCCTTCATCAAAAAACACAATCCCCTTTCTCTGATGTAATTGTTGTAGGAAACATGTTCATATATCAATGATTTTGTAATATTGTGGTTAAAATCATTTTGCAGCCAGGTAAGACAGAAATCTAAACACTAAGCTCTCCATTTCATTGAAAATAAAACACTGCCATTTCAAAGGATTCAGGAAGATCAATATAATTCACTTGTTCCTAAGATGTTGCTTTCAGATGTAGAAGGCTTTGTCATGTGAGAGACTTTCTGTAAGTCTAACTGCTAGCAAGTGTGTCTGTACAAGACAATACACATGACCCATTTATAATATCAATTTCCCTCAACCTGTGGAACATTCTCTCATGTCATGAGATCACTGAGGGAAGAGACCAATACATCATTTCCACCCTACCCATTGCCTCATCCGCTGGGACATTTCCCAATATTTTCGATGTTTCCTGGTAGAATTTGCATAAGAAACATTAATTTTTACAGTCAATGACATTCTGCACACTCATCTAGAGATGTTTAACCCATCTTTTCACTCTTTCCAATATTTCTCACAATATATGGGACTATATATATATATCTGGGGTACAATATTACAGAGGCACAATACCATCACCAACTCATCCTACCAGAATAGGCTCCCTCACAGTGCTAGGTGATCCATTACCATTTTATTTATGAGCCTTCTGCTGCCATCAAAGGCTTATATCACCACATCCTTCTCAGCATGATGCAATTTACATACCTTAGTGAAGCAGTCATGCAAGTGGACATGCCCCACATCCTATAGTTTGCCTTTTTGTTTGTGCAAGAACATCTAAAATCTACTTTGAGCAAATTTACAACTTGAAATACAACAATATTAATTGTATTCCTCATACAGTATGTGCAACTCTGTATTTTTCATCCAATAGAATGGCAACTCATAGCTTCTATTCATCACTCTTTCTGTCTTGCTAACCACTGTTCTCTTTATTTCAATGTATTCAACTTTTCTTTTTATTGCTCTTCATTTGTTATTGTTGATGCCATTAAATTACATGCATAAATCCTTCACTTTTTTATTGGGTCTTTTTTTTCCCAGTACAAAAATCTTTCCAGTTCATTCACATTGATATAAGAGGCAGAAACTTTTGACAAATGGAGGAATGATGTGTATAGTCATGGATATGACAGCATTATATGTATTTTATACGTTACTCAACAGGAAAGAAATTTATTTTCTGAAATAGTTCACCAATCCAGTAATCCCAAACAGATCCAACAGTGCATTCACACATCACTTTGAGATTGAGCACAGTGAGAAAGAAGGATGATACTGCTGTTGTCTTTTGCCAGTCCTCACTCTATAAAGTTAGGAGTAGAATAATATGTGAATCAGGAATTCTTCCATGCATCTTACATACAACACTAAAAAAAATCCTGATACAAGATAGAATAATGAGACCTACTCTTTACTGTGAAATTGTTATTTTTATTGGAGTATTATAGAGAGACTTAGCTATCAGAACAATACCAACAGCAATCAACAACAACAACAACAAACTAATAAAATAAACCTCTCATCAGTTTGAACTTTTATCCTTTTTGGTTTGAAGTGTCAGGGCTATTTGCAAAAACACTCTCATTACTCAGGTCCCACTAACTGAATGAAATAGGCTGCTTGACAAGGTAAGTGAAATAAAAGCTAATAGTGACAACAAAACTTCACAATGAAGTCAGACTTCCCTTCACAGTTGTTTGTGTCTTACAGGTTCCTATAGTAAGTATGAAACAAATGTTTCTTTTTGTTGAGTTAGGTTAAAGAAAGCCTCACATTTCCCCTTTTGATTACTCCAACATGACACAGAGAGTAGAATATAAGATTGCTGAGTGAAGATTACTCTAGCAAGCCTCAAATGGAATAGTCAAATAAAGAGATTGAGACATTCTGGAAAAATTGTTCAAGTCAGGAGTTCAGTTTTCTAATTTACTGAGAGGTTTCTTCTCTCACTTTCATAGCACATCTCAAAGCAAGACTCAAAAAAACCCAAAAAACAAACAAACAAACAAACAAACAAACCCATGATATAGTACATCTGAGAAAGGAAGATATATCTTTTGTAAACTTTCTGGGCTCCCTTAGAAATAGGAATCTTACCATTAGCATGGGAGTAGTCTAAATTGGTAGGGTTTTTTTTTTATCATTGTTGTTTTGGAAGTGATGATTTCTTTTCAATATTCCAAGAAGTATATTCTGTACTTTAGATATATCACTTAATAATAATTGTTTAGCAAATGCCAAAGGTTGTACATGATATAAAGGCTAACACTTAGGCAATGAATTTACAGAACAGCTATTGGTTATTGTTATTAGGTGCTTCTGAGTTTTACAGTTTGGTCGACAACTTCTAATATTTTCCATTTAATCTTTATTGTTATGTCACTCTACTCATCTATGTCATTATTATTCTATAGTTCTGCACAGAATAAGAATGCAATCAGAACCATTTGACAATATTTCCATGATCATTAAATAAGATGTTATTCCTTATCCTCCAGGGTGTCCAGATGATGTTGTGTGAAGAATAAATATCATTTGATTTGGATCATATCACTAGGGACTGTAACTTATAGGAATTTGGTAAATCTACAGTCATGAATCATTTTTTGAAACTGATTATTTTTTAAAAGCTCTCTAAGAATCCAGTGCAGCCAGAATACTGTGTCTACTCTTTGGGATGTAATTCCTTGGTTTCTTCCTTGTCTGTTTTTGGATTCCCAAGCATATATCAATCTGGAGTCAAAAGTAAAAGGTTTAGAACTAGACTTGGGATTTATTATTTTATGAGCCTCCTTAAACCAGATTAGGCTAGATCCATGTCTGAAACTCGCTAAGTTTCATACTATTTCTGTTGGTTTAAGGGTTCTCATTTAGCCTAAGCCTTCTTTGTTTAGCATTTTGTTTATATCTGACTTGTTATTTTATTTTTCAGTTGTTTTGATACAGGGTGGCTTCAAACTTTTCCTCCTTTCTGAGTCTTCCAAATTCATGTGTGAGCATATTTAACATAATTGTGGTGTTTGGAGACATTTCCTGTTCAGGTTGGGTGCAGAGCCCATTCTGAATGCTACAGCTGGAAAGGGGCAGGGCCAACTCAGTCGATTTCATGACACCAGGCCCAACTCTCACACACTCAAACCTTGGGGCCAGCTTATCCAGATCCCTATCATCAAGCTGCCATTGGTGAGAGGTGGAGCCAGTTCTTCAGGGCACTCAGCCAGTTAGGGACCAGGTAGTTCTCCACAGACTGTAGATATCCAAGTGATCCCTAGCAGCTGCTCTGACCAGGGACATCCCCAAGTTTTATAGTGATAATATGAGCCTCAGACATACAAAATGACCCCTACTACTGTGTAGCCACAGACCCAGACATGGTCTTCTGTGGTAGCTAAGGCTGGGATCCCACCATGGCCCAGGTGGCAGTGTTGGCCACTCACAACAGGCTATTCCTCTTCACTCTTGAGTCTCCAATTCCATCTTCATAATACTCAAGCTGTTTAATTTCTCTTTCTTTTCCATCTGTCCACCACATACTGGCATATTGTGGTTGCTCCTGCTGCAGAGTAACCATGATGCTGGCCCGATCCTGGGTGACATTCTCCAACAGTGCTGCTGCATGGTGTGCTGGCACATGGGTGTCAATGTCCTGACTTGCCATGTGGTCGCCACGGTGGTCCTCATGTTATCTGTCTTCCTCCTCTCACACTGTGTTGCTTTAATTTGGTTTGATTTTATGGATCTTAGGCATAAAACAGCTTTGACCACCAAGCCAAGCATCAAACTAGGATGAACAAAGGACTTCCATCTGCTCTCTGCCCCTGACTAATATAAAAACACTACCACCAACAAAATGTCTATTTGCCCATTGCCAGGGTATGTGGGGCATTAGTTATTCTTATATCTTCAAAATTTTTCTCATGTATATTAGCGGCTTTAAGCACTGGAAATTAATATTAAATATTTCAAAATACTTGATGTTAGTTTTTACCTGTATGTTCTTTGTTTCCTATAGAAATGAAAAGACTGAAGGAGCTGAAGGGGTTTGCAACCCCATAGGAAGAACAGCAACAATATCAACCAACCAGACCCCCCAGAGCTCCCAGGGACTAAATCACCAACAAAGAGTACACATGGAGCAACCCATGGCTCCAGGGGCATATGTAGCAGAGGATAGCCTTATCCGGCATCAATGGGAGGAGGGGCCCTTGGTCCTGTGAAAGCTCGATGGATACCCCAGTGGAGGGGAGTGTCAGTGGTGAGGTAGAAGTGGGTGGGTGAGTTGGAGAGCACCCTCATAGAAGCAGGGGGGAGGAGATGGTATAGGGGGTTTGAGGAGGGGAAACAAGGAAAAGGGATAATATTTGAAGTGTAAATAAATTAAATATCCAACAATTAAAAAAAAAAGAAATGTGGGAGTATTCTTCTTTGACTGTTAAGGTTAAAGAGCTTCAGCTCTTTCCTGAAGGCTTATAGACAGATGTGAGTTGGGTCATTATTCTACTGAAATGGAAAGCCAAATTACCATTCTTGAATTCTAGTTTTTCCACTAGAGAAATGAATTAAAATGGAGAGTTGCAGATAGAGACCTTAATGTCAAGTGAAGTAAGGTGGACTTAGAAAAGACAAAGACAAAATAAAATACCCATTCTTATATGCAGAACAGCTTAAATTTATCTAGGTATATGATATATATGTGTATGTATATGATGTATATGTATAATGTACATATCCTTGCTCTCTCTGTCTCTCTCTGTCTGTCTGTCTCTCTCTCTCTCTCTCTCTCTCTCTCTCTCTGTGTGTGTGTGATGTATGTTTATGACTTAAAACTAGAAACCAGAAATGAGAGAGGAGGAAGACATCAGAAGAGAGGTTAGGGTGGTAGAGAACAGAGGGCAGTAGAATAATTTAACATGAAAGCCCAAAAGAAGAAGCTAAGGCTTGGAAAGGGACCATGGATATTGGAGAACGAGAGATGGAAAGGCAGTGCTGAGGGAGACAAATAGAAACAAAGTAAATTGATATATATACAGGAAAGTGAAACAAATTGTATGATTCATATGCTTATTTAAAATAATTAATTTAAAAAAGAGAAATGAATGATGTTGGATTTCTATCATGGGCTCCAGTACACTGGCAAACATCAGAGTGCAGAGAGGTTCAATGATAGAATTAAAAATTAGTACACGCATCTGTCTCGTTCTCAGCTCAGCATCTGTGCTCAATAATTAGCTCAATATTTGCTTAAACTTAAGGGAAGCCAGGGAAAGGTAAGGTATTTAATATACTTAGAAATTTGCTCTCCCTGAAGACTGATGACTAGGAACCACATCTGTGTTAGTTCTGACAGGCAACCAAGCTCAGAATAAAGATAGAAAGATAACTTGAGAAGTGAGGAATTTAAGTAAATTTGAGGATTTCTGCAATCCTTACTTGGAAAAGTCGAATATAGGACAAGTGGCAGCAGAAAAAGTGACAGGACACAGGCAAATAGACGCCAACAAAAACATACAGGACTCATTATGTCTTCTTTGTTCTCTGGAAGAGTAAAGCTTTCAACTTTCAAATCTCAGGAAGGTATCTGAAAGATAATTCAGAATGCCTGGAGTTTTAAATAGAACATGTGTGCATTCACAGCTCTAAAAGACATCCTAGGAAAAAGAACTGAGTTAATGAAAATGCAATGAGATGCGTGGGTAGGAATGGGTAGGAATGGGTAGTTGCCGGTTTGTTTCCTTCACAAAGGAGCCTGTGCTCTGCATCCTTACCTGATGGGTTTGGTTGTACTCTTATCTCAGGCTCTGAGTCTTAGATCTTGGAGTTTACTGCTACTCCCAGCCATCCCTATGTTCCCTTGTCTCTATGTTCCATCTTTTCACTCTCTTTATGTTCACATTTGTAGTTGACAAAGCAGTTTGTATTAAGTGGAGGTAGAAGTAAGTTTTTAGAAATCATTTGCTCATTTCATTACATAATTAAGTGATTGCTCAGGAAGAAAAATAGCATCTAACATAAACAAAAACTAAGACAAGACTAGACATGTCAGATTTGATTCTATAACTACTTTATATCCTTAGACACATATTGAAATTACATGGCTTAATGTTTGTGTTAGAAGGTCTTATGTTGCTATGAAAAGATGTGGGGGAGGGGTGAGTACCTTCTCAGAGGCAAAGGGGAGGAGAATGGGGTAAAGAACTCTTGGAGGCAGGACCAGGGATAAAGGCAACATTTAGGATGTAAATAAATAAAACAATTTAAAAAATCAACATGCAAAAAAAGAGCAAAGATTTATTTTGACTCATGGTATAACATGTTCATGACCACATGGTTTCAAGACAGCAGCAGATCATGGTAGAATCATGGAGTGGGTAAACCCATGTTTCTAGGGCCTGGAAGAAGAGAAACTCAAGAGACTAGGTTCCCAAAGCCTTCTTTAAATGCATGCTCTGAATAATTGAAAATTAACCACTAGACTCACCTCATTTTATTTTTTATTAAAAACCAATCATGTGATTTTGTCCTTTCACTAGTTATTAATATATAAGTATATTCTCTTGAGTGTGCACAACATTATTTGTAAGTATGTGATTTCAGGGCTAAGTACTTGATATTGGATAAACCATTTGGTGCGTTCTTTCTTGGGTAAGATTATTTTCCCCTAGTCTGTATTCCTTTGTTGCCTGTAGTTCTCTGCCAAGATTTTGGGCCCTGTAAGATATTCTCCTTCTGTGTTAGCATGTCTATTGGCATCATCCTCATTCAGATCTAGTTAGGCATCCTTGTTATAAAATACATAACTAACTATGTGTAGCTGAGTGAGAGCATGGCTTTTAGAGGATAGCTTACAATTGCCACTTTACTAGAACAGCACAATTCCTGACATTTAAACTATTCCATCTTTATTCAGATATATAAATATAGATCTAACGCTCCAAAACAGAAATTTTGGTTTTTTTTCTTTTTCTTTTCTTTTTCTTGTTTTTTTTTTTTTTTTTTTTTTTTTTTTTTTTTTTTTTTTTTTTTTTGGTTTTTTGAGACAGGGTTTCTCTGTGTAGTTCTGGCTGTCCTGGAACTCACTCTGTAGACCAGGCTGGCCTCAAACTCAGAAAGCTCCCTGTCTCTGCCTCCCAAGTCCTGGGACTAAAGGCGTGCGTCAATACCTGGCCAGAAATTTCATTTTCAACCATTAAAGAAAACCACAACTGATCAAAATGTAGAGATATGATTGTGTGGTACCCAATACCAGGTAATTTATCTACAACACAACTCCAGCATCCAATGCTCAGGGAACATTGCTGACAAGGGGGCAGAAATATTGTAATAGCCAGAGAAACTACGTCTGCTGTGAGAATGTTTTTCCTAGAAATGTCAGGGAAGTTAACCATGAAGTCTCAACAACAGAGGGCAACATCTTAAATGTTTCTAATAGCACAACAGTGAGCCTTTGACACAGAGGCTTGTGGAGGTTATTTTTATTCCAGACTTCAAACATCCCTGGATGCTTATTACTTTACATTACTTTAAATTTTCTTCTTTAGTTAAATTTTCTTATGTTATCTACAATGGAAAAAATGGAGAAAAAATTATATACTTTACCCCTATTCCATATCAGATCAATGGCTACCAATGATGGCTATAGGGACAGTATTCCACTGTTAGCATGTCTCTGTCTAATGATCTGTTCCTCATCCTTCTTTGGCTCTTTGGAGACATTAGAAGAACATGAATAACATATTGTAAGTTGCAGTCTATACTTCCTCACTCATCAGAGTCTCCAAAGCTTCCTCTTGACATTCTTAGTTTCATCCACTGACATCTAGTAAGATGTGTTCCAGTGCAAGCTAATTCTCAGGTGCAAAGATATTGGTGGCAGAAGTAGAAAAGGATTGTAGAATCTGCTTTATCCCACACAAAGAGGAGAGAAAACGTTGAAAGAGGAGAAAACACCATGGGTTAAAGGATTGTGAAAACATGGCCGTGAGGGCTGGTCAATTGGAGTAAGTGCAGGCCAGATGGAACATGACAAGTTATAACTAGGGATTATTGACAGGAAAGTAGATACTAGTAGCTTAGCAGGCAGATATCCTCCCAGCTCTAGAGGGCTTATCATAAATAGACTGTTTTTGTGTCTTTTATCTGCCAACTAAATGATCTACAGCGAGATAGAACCCCCAATTGAGATTAAATAGTTACTACCATATTGGACATCTATCTGCAAGTAAACATTTGATGGTAGGTTAACGCTATTGAAGTTATGAGAAAGAAATGGTAATTGGGACGACCAGCAGATGGCATGCTTCAGAGAGTGTGTAATTGCTGTCAAATTCATGGTTGTTACTTAGGCCTGGGGCCATGCAGAAGGTCTGTGTGGTCATTTCTTTTTTATTCCTGAAGTGATAAGAATCATAACCTGTCTGTTTTGACTTGTACAAAGCTATACCACACATGATCTGTAATATAGAGAGCCTTCTGTGGCATGCAGCAGATGCAAGCACAAAGCCCTGTGAAAATGACCACTCTTTCTGTTAATTCCTAAAAAGGTGTTTATGAGGATCCTCACACCTTTTACATGCACTTTGGAAAGATCTGACTCCTTCAGTTCTGGTGTTAATTGATTTTCAGCAGCAAATTCTGCTTTATTAACCCACTGGACTTCAGAAAACTCAAATGAATGTAAAATGAGGAACAGGATAGTTTCCTACTAGGGCAAGTAGAAGAACGTTTATGGCATGTATTTTTCTCTCTAACTTTGGACAACCAATATAGTATTTACACAGTGTAGAGACAATGCATCTGCATGAGCATAGAACCATTACATGCTCAAGAAATATCATTTTATTTTTTTGTCTTTGGAAGAAAACATAAATTTCAGATAT